TGAGCGGGAAATGGTGGGAGGTCTGCTGGCCACCCTCAGTCACCCTGCTGGCAGGGTCAACAGCCAGCTCTGCCTATTGGACTGAATCTCACCAGGGTTGAGCTCAAGCACATACAGGTCTTAACCTACAGTAGAGGAGTTTCTCTCATCTAGACCTCACCCAACAGACCACTTCTGTACAAAGAATGTCAGAAGCAGCAGGCAGCTGAAGTAGTACGCTCTGTATCTCAGTGCGGTATCGAAGGAAGTGCTGGGGAAAGTTATCAACATACAAATAGTTGACTACAATTTCTGCACTGTTTATGGGGGGAAAAAAAGCATGCTTAAGCATATACAAGGTGGCCAAATATCTTAGGAGGGAAGTTTCAAAATATCTTCCTATGAGGATAATTCTAGCCATATGACAGAGGAAAATCAGAGTGAAGTTAGTTTCAGCCTCCTACAGACCCATTGCAACAGGAGCACAATTTGTGCTAATTACTGAAATTTAAATGAAAGCTAAATTCCTTAATTATAATTATTTTTTCTAGATCCTGACATAGAAAATGATCTATGTTTTGAAATACTTTACTTCTGTTTCATCAAATGGAAAACAACTCTTGAAAAGTTCTGGATTCTTCTAGATATAAGCATTTTCCTAGCTCCTACATAATTTGTGATAGAGGTTTAAAGATTTGGGAATTCAGAAAATAAGTCCCAAGAGTGCTCCTTAGATGTAAGAACATCTACATCTGCACTTTGTGAGAATTTTAAAAGGTTTATCCACATCTACCCCTCAGATCTTCATTAAATGAGAACAAAATGTGGTTGAAACTCCTCATGGAGCTACAGCTTAGAGATGAGAAGGCAGCTGCAAGATGCAGAGACTGCATACAGAAAGTATTTTAAAACACTAACCCTTACATCTTCCAACCCCTGCTCCAAAAATTCTTAAAATAACCAACTCCCCCCCAAAAAACCCAAACACTTAATCACAAAATTTTTTTAAAAAAACCCACCAAAACAACAAACACACACAACAACAAAAGGCTATAACAGGCCTATAGTTGGTATTCTTGACTTGTAAACCACAAAAAGAATAAAAGCGAAAAGTTCCCTTCTGTCCAATATTGAAGTCAGTGTACAGTTTTTTTAATTTAGAAAGAGGGGGGAAAAAGGGTTCTGAATAACACAAGATCCCTTTTATGTAGCGTTTTTTCAATATTTATGTTCAACTACTTACAAATTAAATCAGATCTGCTCTAATTTAGCAAAAGTTCTATGCACGTGTAGTTTCAAGTGGCATCTCCAGCAATCTTTCAGCAAAGCTTTCCCACAATTTTGATTTCCAATTTACATTAAGCACATACTGATATGCTTTGCCAGATAGGAACATGGTTTTATGTAAGCTTAGAAGTAAGTAAACTTATCGATGTTTTGTTGAGTTTCAGTCCTTGGTGAGAAAGCATATATTGATGAATTAAAGGAACAAGAAACCCTTAACTAAAGCTGGTACTTGCAGACAAGTGCTCAATCCAATTCAAACCAATTCAAAGGAACAGGCACAGTGTAATATCCATGCATGGCTATATTCAATAATTGCTTGGGGCAACTAGTGTTCATGATCAAAGAGACTGTCAGGACAATCCAAATAATGATTTTCCTGAAGGATGTTTGTTCAGACGCGAAGGTTGGAAATTGTCTGTCATTCAGTGGGTACCAAAAGGAGAGCTTCCCTCAGGCTGCCTGAGTCATGATTGAATTTAATGCTTAAGAAGAGGGAAGTGACAAAAAAAGCCACCAACAAAAAAAATGCACACACTTTTAAAAAAACCCAGAGAGGTGAGCCAGTAACATTCCATGAAGGTGGTCATCTTTGACAGATTTGGTGAGAACATTTAGCATCTTAGTTTTGGGGGGGTTTTAGCAATTTTTTTTTTTTTTTACTTCTTGCTTTTGTTTTAGAGAACCTACTAGGACTTTAAGACTGGTAGTTTGGACATGAAAGACAGCATTAGCAGACTAATTTTGAATACTGGCACTGAGGAGCTGAAAGATGCATCATGTTACTTGTATTTTACTTGTAAACATTAAACTTCTCTTCTGAAAGACAGACAGATATGCAGACATTAGCAGAATTATTTATACAACATGTGCTGCATTCAAAACGAGCCATAATACAGACAAATCTTTACTCTATGCCACAAGGTAACCTTAGGTTTCTTCAAGAAGCCCATAAACCGGAATGGCGAATAGCTACAGCCCAGAGTTCTCAAGGAAATTCAAATTAAGCCCAGGAGGCCAATTTACATATGGAAGTGGAAAAGCAATATAGATTTATAAATAACAACAATGACAATGAAGAACATTTAATTAAAAGTTATGCACCCTATGGGTACATCTATAGTCAGCAAAGCACAGTAACAGAGAAGTACCCAATTCCAGATGCAGTTTAGTGGTGGTAACACAGACCTTTTACACGGTTCACTTTACGCTGTGCTACATGTGCTATTGCCGCTACCCAAAGAACTCGTTCAGCAGTGTAGGCACACGCTGAGCTAACAAAAGTAGTGCAATGTTGTAGAGTGAGAAAGGGGGTGTGAAAACATTATGCAGTACTTTTCTTTTGAAAGGATTCTCTACTAGATAAGGTCAGTGCGCTATCAGAGAAGTGAGATCAGCTGCGTTGCCAGACAGATCACATATCTATGACAGTGTTTGAGATGGGAGCTGTGAATTATCCTCTTCTGCATGTCCAGTTCAAAACAGACTGACAGGTTCTCAGTGACCAGAATTTGTGGTGTTTAAGCAATTCTGAAAATTATGGCTAAAACATAACTGAAACTTTTTGAGACCCAACACTTTGAGAAGGTTTTTGTATGAGATCGAGACCTTCATTAGGAAGCATCCTGATACTTAATGACCTCCCAATACTGTCCTTTACAGAGCTTTTTCCTAGCAGAAAGCATAAAGAATATTACAGTAGCAAAACATCAGAAATGGAGGGACCTGAATCCATTTCAGTTTTGTTTTGCTAAATCCTTTTAGCAGTTCACAGAAGTATAGCATCCACATTTAGATCAGAACAAGGACACTAAATTTATTTTTAACATTAAAGAAATTACATGATGGGTTCATTGAATGCAGTCTCACACTTCAAGTACCATGCTGCAACATAATAGAAGTTATAACAGAGAAAGAATATTATTGTAATTAAACTCATTGATTAAATAAGTTCATTGTAATTAGAAAGACAAAATAGGCATGCCTATTAACCAAGCAATAATTCCCTGAAAAGAGAGTATTTCAATATCCTGACAGATCGTGTTGCTTCTATGGAAGGTTTTACTGTATTTTCAGTAAGCCAATCTGGTCTGTCACACACTCAATTTTTAATGCCAACGTCAATGACAGCATGTGTTTTTAAATGCAGCTACATCTGCCGCTGTTAATTACCGAGTCATCTGACCGCTGTACTGGAAAACAAAAATGCCACGATGACATGAAAGCACTGAAAAAGCTACTTGCCAGAAAGCCGCTTGCTTGTGCTACACAGCGATTTTTCTGATCCTAAGACAGGCTGCATTTAAGCATGGCAGACAGCAAGAGGCAAGAATTCTGCATCAAACCTTAGCAGCAAGCTAAACAAAACCCGTTGTATTCAAGAAATGCTACATATGCATGTCAGCATCAGGAGACCTGCAACAGACTTGCTCATTCTTTGATCTTTCCTTCTGGAAACAGAAACTGGTACTGTTTGTAGAAAGAAGACTGTATAAACACACACATGCAGAGGTTTATAAAAATTATTTCTTAAAAAAATATGTTTTATTAGTGAAATGGAGGTGTTAATTCTATCATTCTTGTACATAAGACTCACTAGTAGCCTTATTTTTAATGAAAAAGAAATAGTGCCTTTTGATTTAAAACAGCTCGACTCTAGAAGACCAGGACATTTTGAAAATCCAAGCATGGAATCATCAGTGATGCTGAAGTGTTTTAAAGATCTGTAGCACTTAATGATGACAGTTTGTTTTATTAAGCTACGTACAATTAAAGCAGATGAAAACAAGTCATTGCTTGAATGCTAACAACAAGGAAAAACAGCGTCCAAAAAGTACCTTTCTTCGAGCTGTAATAGGAAAAGGAAAGGGAAACAATTACAGATGGGAAATCCCAGAACAGAGCAGCCAACCTAATATTTGCATGTCATGCAAGAAAAGGAAGATGTTACTAGCAGAAGCAACAAAATTAAAATGTTTATTAAAACATAGTCCCAGAATAGAGCTGCCAAACTAGCAAGTCCACATAATAAGCAAAAACAGAGAGATAACTGTCACTAGCAACAGCAAGAATGCAGAACTTTATTAGCAGAACTAGATACATCTACGCCAAAGTGTGGCAGCACCTTACAGAAACCTGAGAAATCTGAGCAAGATGGTATGTTGACAGCACAGACAAATGCCACATAATCACTTTATGTCCTGTGCCTGGATTTCTTAAGTATCTCAGATGCTCCTTGTTTTGGAATTAGTCCATTCTGAATAAAGAGGGAATTAGTGTCCCAGGCTGAATTGCAAACTATAGATATCTGCTGGGGGGAAAAACACAACACCAAAACCAAAAAGACCAGAAAACCCAAATTCACACACAAAATCACCCCAAAACCACTAGCCCTGATTTAGCAAGACTCTTACCATCTTAGAAGGTTGAACCCTACCATGAGAAAGGTAGCAAAAATAATTACTATAACAGAAGGAAAGAGAGGCTAAAGAAATAAGAATAGATGTTTCTACATCTTGTATGTATAATTGGATCGCCTAGGATCACATAAAACTACAAACACCAAATAAAACTACTGATAGCATTTTTTTAGTTTCATAGAATTACAAAACCAGAAAGCGTACTGAAGCAGCAAGAGGCTATTTCAAAGGGCTGTTCCTAGTCCATGATTGCTTGAACTTCACTCCACGTTTGAAGGTGTTAACTGCTCCTAGTACATATGAAATTGCTATACTTACTACTCCCCACCACAGGGCATCTGCATAGCTGCCAAACTCTGTTTCTCCAGAATCATTTACAGCGTCTTTTTCAGCCAGGTACACAAAATAAGAAGAAAAAATGAGGCCCAGAAATCCAATGTAAAGTGTAGTTATCAGTTCCTGCAAAGAGAATAAAAATAATGGCATTATGATATTACTGACTTAAATTACTTATCACTGATGGTTTTTAAAAGATAATTGAAACGGAAGAATGTAATTTCAGCAATTAATAAATGTGGACACCAGCTGTTGGCTGTGCAAATTAACAAAATTCCACTGAGCTCAATGGTGAAAGAATTTACATCATAGCCAATGACTTGGTCCAGCATGCACATTCCAAACACAGAGTCAAAACAACCTCCTCACTTGCAAGCATGACTCATTAACCTTTTGGTCACCACAAAGTCGTGGGGTAATTTTTTCAGACAATGCCACATTTAAAAGAACTTTGGAATTTAGATACACGTCTTCAGAAATAGTCAGACTGCTTTTCAGATGCCTCATTTTCTGTGGTGAAGTCCAACTACAAGTCAAAAGTTCGCCAAAGTGGAGGTGAATATTTTTAATCTTTTAGGAACTTTTTATCCCTTGAACAAGGCAGAACAAACATACTGGCTAAAATAAATGACTGCCTTCCTCCACACTAACTGTATTTGACATCATCAGCACATCTGCACACGTGCTGTTCTGAATATAAGGACCTTGCATCAATTATTATGTCATTTCTTAGAGTACTTGAACTTACTTGTCTGTGTATGAACACTACTGATCCCAGCAGCCTCCACGTACCACCCTGACGGTCTACATGCAGCATTCGTAAAATCTGCAGAAAACGGATGCCCCTGGAACATAATTTTTAAACAAATGAAGAGACTAAAGATACAGGAGAAGAAAGAGAGCCAGAGAGGGGAAGTTTGCCTCTTCCAAAGGACCATTTTAAGAGAGAGACGTGTATTTTGTTAGACTTAGCAGCTTGCCTCTTTTCACTTCATTCAGCCATCTTTCATCTTGTTTGTTATGAAGACAGCACAGGGAGATTGCACAAGAGAAGACAGGCCTGTGTACACAAGGCTACTAAGGATAACTCCAGGATTCGGGAATTTTGGACACAAACTATGAATGGTCTAGAAATCATTCATCAACTCATATTTGACCTGCTTGCCAGGACGGGAAACAACATACAGAACCAGCTAACTAAAGACGTGAATTCCTCACCTTTGAGGAATTTCGTAAGTAATTTGAACTAGACAGCCCAATAATATTTCAAAATATTCTTTTTACAAGAGGGACTGCAATACTAGAGCACTGCTGCAGCTAGTGCGCAGAGCACAGTACACTGCTGCATACCCTCCTCGTTCAAGAAAGCCAAGTGGTGTGACCTTCCCGAGCCCAAGGTGGATTCAGTCCATTTGACTGAACTCCAGGTATTTTAGCAGTTTGAAGACGTCAGACATGAAGCACGAAAAGGTTGCTATAAAACTGAGCCAAGAAACCAAAACAGGATTTGGGTAGAACCCACCCAGTTGGGGAAAGCAGGTGGGGGTACGCGCACCTCTATCCCCATCAGACATAAAGGCATCACAACCAGACAACACACGAAAAATTTTATTTCCCCTACACTTAATGGGATCACTGTTTCACACCCATACATGATCGGGGATCTGATCTGTAACATGACTCTGAGCATTGACTCGTTTTCTCCTGCAAGAATTGAAACAGGAGGTAAAAAAAATAAATTCAAAAACCCCACCACCTTACTCAGCACTATTTTCTTTATTGCATATAATTACCTGATAGCTGAGGTTGCAAAGACTTGACCTTTAGAGCCCACACAAAGAACTATCATGGAAGCAACAACTACAATTAAATCTGGAAAATAGAAGTAAATTAGAAAAACGAGTTAGCCGCATCTTGCAATACTTCTGCAAGACCATTACTAGAACCAACGCCAATATTACGTTAGTGATTTGAACAGTCACTCTAAATTAAGATTCTTGTTTATATATCAAAAGGCCTCTATTGTAAGATATAAAGAAACTATAATTGTGTGATATGATAGAAAAGTTTTACTGGGAAGGGTCCAAGACGGCCACATTCTAGATGAATGATGAGAGTGATATGAGTTACTGTCAAGCAGCCTCAGCAGCCTGGGATCCTTAATAGCTATAATCCATGAGGAATTTCAGCAGTTTCTACCTATTATCCCTTCTGTGAATCTTATTTTCTCTGCTGTTGTAGACAGTATTTTATTTTCGGGGTTTATTTCATATACAAGACAATTGCCTTACTATTATTTCATGTGTCCAGGTCTAAAAGTGAAAGAAAAATTGGAATTAGTACAGGAGTCTAATTTAGTTGAAGTCAGTCATTACCCTAGGACAACTGTAGTCTAAATCTCTGTGCCTCAGGCCTTGTTAATTTTGGAAAGGAACTCTGTTTTGGAGAATGAAATATTTCTCGATACATATCTGGGAAAGTCGAACTTTGTTTTGCTTTCCAAGCTGAAATAAATTGGATGATGTTTCAGAACCCCTAGTGTTCTAGGTCTCAAGAGAAAGGGATTGGGGACAGAGTGCAAATATGCAGCACAGGCATTTTATAGTTGCTGTCACACCTGAGATACAGACGTTATTGATACATATGCACAGAGAAGCTAAACTACACTATTTTACGATTGTAAAAATATCCAGGTACAAAATTTTGTAATTTATATTCAGCAAAATCGTAGAGAGTTTATGAAAAACTATATCCTCTACTCAATAACAAATGTTTCTGAGTAGTGGAAAAAACTATGTCACAGAACAAGAATTACTATGCTTCTATAACAATACTCCTCTTCCAAAATCTGGTTTGTTTAATCCATTTAAATTTTAAGTGCTTCAGGGCAAGTGCCTTTACATAGTTCTCTCAGTATTGGCTAACAAAATACAGACTGATTGTGGATTATTATGTTTCTTTCAGTGAAATTGTTAAACGCATGACAAGCATTCTAAAAAAAATAACGGCTTGTGACATATATGGAATATATTTCTAAGAACACCGAAGTCACGTTAGGAAGCCAACTGCAATGAATATCAAGGGAAGTCAGGCGCCCAGTTCCAAATGCATCACAGAAACCCATATTTTAATCCAACAGGTACACAAAGTAACTACAGTGCATCTATCATGCTCCACCATGTAGTATGTAGCTCAATTAGAATGCAATATAAATGCATAACAGATTATTCAAATGGCTGCTTGAAAGAAAGAAAAAAAAAAAAAAAGCTGTTCAGTATCTTTGAAAAAACACAGTTGTAGCTATTGTATAGTGTCCGGGATCCTGAGGTCACAGGAGACAGGACTATGGCCAAGACTTATTCCTGGCAAAGCTTCAGATCACTAGTGAAAAGAAAACACTCTGCTCTTCTGGAAAAACAAACCAAGCTACATTTGTTCTCAAATGACAGTGCCATGGATTCCTGAAAGGAAATTCAGATCTACATTAATGCTAATGACAAGAGCTCTTGCTCTAACTTGGCTTCAACTATCGCAGAAATTCCACTTCTCAAAACTTTCAAGGGCAAGTTTTACTCATTGTTTACATCAACTTTGCAAGTTGTGCATACTCACCAATGATGGAAATAGGCTTCCTAGCAAAACGAAGCCTTCCCCATATTCCAACATATTTACTGCGGCATCCTGCTGACCATAACCGAACCACGTACTCTGTTCCAAAGAATACCACTAACACAATTTCCTAAAAGAAATAGACAGGGAACTAGGTTAATTCTCTACTGTATGTCTTTCATCCTTTTTCAGAACATGTTAGGAAACTCTAAAATAAAATGTAAAATCTGGACAGCGAAAAAGTGTCAACTATACCAAAATGATCTAAAGTAACATAGAAAAACTTGTAAGAGTAAAGAAAGAAAACATCAAGAGCAAGTTTAGATACTTTAATTGCATGCAGTTTGGCTTGTCTACACGTACTAAAACTGAAAACCATTCTGTGCAATTCACTTGGTCTAATTCAAACAAAAGGTTTCCTGACTAAGCCAAAGAAAACAAGCAGAGTCTGTATTCAGAAGATGAATATTTTGCTAGTGTATTTAATTTCGGGAAGAGGTGTGCTACACATCTCATTTACTGTATCAGCTTAACCTCCCACTTACTTACACTTTTTCAGTCTTCCTTTAGTCTCACATGGATCAGAGGAAGATTTCTAGCACCCATTACCAATACGTCAGTCTCTGGGTATACTGAAAACATAGCGAGATTTGAAGCAGGTCTTTCCCATCCTCTTGTCAACGACTAGAGCCTTCAGCAGAAGCAGAGGTCTAGTCCTGAAGCACTGCTGCTATCAAGCTACATGTTAACCACAGACCTGCACTAAGGTATGACTTTGGAAATGCCTACAAAGTGATAGATGTCAAAGACATCCGACAGTCTTGTTGATTAAACAGAGGAACAATTATGTCGTATTTGGAACTTACTCAATGTGCAGGTAAGCCTTGCTTTCCTACGGACTGGCTGAGCACGGCACACTCAGTATAGTCTCCTCAGGTACCAGGGAGCTGCAACATTTCCTTATTGGCCAGCTCAATTACTAACTGGTCACCTTCTCTATCAAAGCCAACAGCAAAATCAACTAATTGGAATGGTAACTTGTGGCTTGTATTCGAAAACACACCACACATGGCAGATGGAAAGACTAAAGCAGAGAAACCAATTACACAGGTACATAGGATAATACAGATTAAGAGAACGAGCTGCTTATGTCATAGAGTGATTTAATATAAAGAGCAACTGCAGAGAAGATGGCAAGGTGCTGAACATTTTATCCAGTCTGCTCACGCTTCTGCACTGCTGTTTTTCATAACAGATTGGCAAATGGGACTCAAGAGGGTACCTATGATTATTTTCTAAATTAACTAGTCCAGTCAAGATGAACAGGAGTCATATCAGTTTCAAAAATGCATGGGACATTGCCCTGAATACTGAGCAAAATAATAGGTCTATACACAGCATAAAAAGGGAGAAAAAAAGTGTTATGCATCAATCGACTTTGCTATCATCTTTTTGTGGCTCTAAAACGCCAGTCTCCTGATGGCGTAACAAAGTGTTCATCTCCGGGCACTACAGCGTTGAAGTTTGACTCCGTGACACTTCTAGAAAAGCTTGGAGAACATTCGCCAGGACTCTTCCCCTTCATTTTGACAATCTCATAACCTGTGCAAGATGCCAAATGTAGCAGAAGAGCTGTCACAATTGTTTATAGTCACTCGTATTCCAGTTAGATATTCAAAATATAATGAAACTATCCAGATCATTGGTTGTAATAAACATGAAGCTCAGACCCTTTGACCCAGCCAAGACAGTTTCATCTACAGCTTCATTCTGAAAGGATCCACCAGAACCCTTCACCTTTTTTTTTAAAAAAAAAAAAAATTGGACTATTATTAAATATTTTTCAATAAAATAAAGTCATAATGAATGTCATAAATCTAAGGAACAGCATCTGCAGCAGACACTTTAAGGAAAGCCTGTTTCTTATGACAGACATAACGAAACTCTCCCTTTGTCCAATGTCCCCTAATGACATTTACAAATCTACAGTGAATGGCAAAGCTCTGATATGAGCCCTGCTTTACATGAGGTGCTGTTGAATTGTCACAGCAAAATAAAGCACCAGAGGCCGTCTTTTCTGATCAGGCAATCGTATTCATTTCACAGAAATGGTCAATAAACTCTAATACCCAAGTATCCTTCTGTATGCAGAAGGCTAGTACGTCTCCTTTCATTGCTACCACAGAGGAAACTCCCTTAACAAAAGATAATTGGAACCATACAGGGAGCAAAAACTGTCCTTCATTTAAAATAACTCATTTGAGGAAGGGATGTATGGCCTCACATCGTATGTGATAGCACAGATAATACCGCTCAGATCTCCCCAAAAGCAATTATCAAAAGCAAAAGAACAACAAAAAAAGTTATCTTGGTAGGCAAAGAAAAACCCAGAGAAAAGCTAATGTTTTAGCACAGTGAAACGCCAAACAGCACTCTTGACCAGGCACCGTGGCCTTGTCAGGATCACAGTTGCAGTTTTATAGCAAGAAGGTAGAAAATGAGAGTCTGTATTGTGCTTTAAAGCAGCGTGTATTCTGTGCGTAGGAAATTTGCATCGGAGTTGTGCGCGTGTGTTTTTTCCAGGCTCATCGGGGAACAGGCACACCGGCAGGATGCAAATGGGGGCTGTGCCAAAGACAAGGCGACAGACCCGCACTCAATGGTTACTGTCACCCAGCGCTTTGCGTGACACGCAGACAAGCTTAGAGAACATTGATTGTCCTATAGACTCCGCTGACTGGAGGGAACGACCAGTCGGCTTACACCAAGACACATTTTTCACTCCTGACGTTTTGATAAAGGCTTATTGACCTAAATGAGACCCAAGTTATTCAGGGAACATCGGGGGTGAAAGTGCACAAGCTGTTCTTCATGGTCATACACAAAACCTCCAGGTATCCATTAGCAACTGGCAAATTCCCCCTCCTCTGCCCGTGGCTATGTGACAGACAAAAGTGTTTTTAATATCTTGCATTGCGTAAGTCTAATAAGTAGTCTCCTGGGGGTGGGGGAGGCAGATGAATTTCTGTCAGTACACACTTAGATTAGCAGCCAGAAATTTGCAGACAACAAGGAAAAAATACATTAGAAAATTACGCCTTCCTGAGCTACTAAAATATTGCCTACATTTTCCCAATTAACAGCTTAGCATGAAATTTTACGTTAACTAGAATGATGCCAACCTGATCCTTAGTTCATTTATGCTGGTCATAATTAGGGCTAATTCCATTTAATAGGAAGTACCCTGGCAGAGAGTAGCAATGCCTCAGACCTGAGAATCTTAGCAAATCTGAGTTGCACTACAGATTAATTTGGTCCACTGTTTCTTTGATACTTTCCCCTAATTGCCTGCTTAACATCTACCTACTAAGTGCATTGTATAAAAGTTTGTCTTCTCACAAGGAATCAACTAGACTGAAACACGGGTTCAAGAAGCTGATACAGGAAAATGGAAGGATAAAGTGCTGAGCACACAGAGAGGATGTAAAGAATGACTGAAATAAGGAACAAAGCAACATTCAGCACAAGGGAAAAATTAAAATACTGAGAAAATAACTGCCTGCAAAACACTAGAGGGAGTGGTGGTTAAAGTTCAGTAGAGGAGATTTCTTGGTTAAAATGACAGACACGCAAGAACTGCACTGTGCAAGGACCCACTCAACCCTATGTAACCTAATTGCGTTCTCCTTCCTACAAGGTAAAAACAGAAATACAACACTGAGATAAAAAACTTGTACTGACATGGTAAAAAGATGTTTGATAGTTGTGTACCTTCATACTGTGGGCATACAGAAGCCCTCCTGCTTAAGAGGAGACACTTTTTTCCCTTTTAAATATTGAGTTACAAAGGTACCCTCGCTTCTGCCATCTTTCCTGCTCAACACAGGTGTATGCTTAATGCCATCTTTATGCCTTCTCAGCCACATAATCCCAACACAGCCACGTACCAGATTAACTCTGGATGAAAAAGTAGAGAAGATGAACATGAGATACACGTCCAGATTGCTCTTCTGGAACTATCAGCGTCAGTAACTGTCCAGCTGTGAGCAACCTCTCACACGCACATTCACCACACTTTCAACTAAAAGGAATGGGTAGGCAAGACTAGTGTAACAAGCCCTGGGCATTTCTACTGTGGTTCAGTGCTTGGTGAAACTACAATAGATCTCCAGGCAGCCATTTAGCAGATGCCAGGGAACGAAATATTTCTCATAAAAAACAGTAGAGGAGTTTGAGTCCTCACCAGTGCATTGGTGCAGGAGTGAGGTCACCACGTGGGATCCATTTCAGAAGTCTCATGGCAGATTTTTCAGTGCATCTCCCTACTTACTTTCACAGTTCTGACATGGAAACAGTTCCTTTGAGTTAATCAGGTACTACATGAACATCTTTGGGAATTGCTTCAAGTATAATTAAACAGCCATCAAAACATAAAAATTATTGCCAGTCCGAGACAGATATCTCATAACTTAATCAACTGGCTAAAGAGCAGCTCTCATCACCTGATGAAGGAACTTAGGCAGGACCCATAAAAACCACAGTTCCCTGACAAACATACCCATGTTATCTGTTGTTACAGCCCGTATCTCTACAGTTCCCATGGATTAATCATAGTTTCATAATAAGCCCACACAGGGAACACACAAGAGAAGGGCTCAAAGAACAGCTGTGATGAAAAGTCATGTATTAGGTTTGACTTACACCAAAGAACTGGACCTGCTATGGGTAAGGACACTTTTAACTATTGCCTTGACAAACTTTGGGATGCCATTAGGCAAAAGAACAAGAAAGTCCCTTCTGTCAGAGGACAACAGGGAAAAGTTAGTTATGGAAAGGACTGACTGAATTGAAGGAGGAACCAGACTTATTCAGCTGCGTGACTGGAGAGTCAGTTCTATCAAAACAAATATGCACAAGTATATTAGCAAAATGAACATCTGGTTTACTTCGCTAACAAATGCATCTTGAAAAGCCCTTCTTTTACTACTCCACCCTCACTGGATTGGAAGAGCTACAATCCAGTGTTGGGAGGCATCCAACATCCACACTGTGAGATAAAGTGCAGTAGCAACTCCAAAAGGAAGGACTAAACTTAGCTGAAGGAGATGTTTTTAAGCAATTAGACAGATTAATAGCTTGGGAATAAAAAACCACAACAAAACCCTGACATAGAATGGACCATGACACCATAACAGCAGCTATTTAACAGATAAAGAAATTGTCTCTGGAGGATGAGAAAGCATCTGTGTAGAGAATATATGGCCTGAAGCTCTGCCTGTAGACCTCAAAGCCGTCACTGGTCATGGAGCATCACAGAAGTTCATGCAGCCATTTGATGTGGGAGGACTAGATGAGGTCATCTGAAACCCATTATGAACAAGAATGTCTTTACTGAGTCTAGACTTTTTTCAATGAACTCCATAAACATATGAGAAGTAAGATACATGTCTTACGAGCAAGGAGGCAAACTATGTTATTCTAATTAGCTACTAAAGACCAAAAATCAAAGATGACATACAGCTTATTCCATCTGCCACAGAGATGGCTGCCTTAAGATGAAAGTGAGATAACAAGCACAGGGAAACAAGAGGCATTGACGAGGGGGATGACTTTAAGCCTCATAAGCACACGCTTCCTCCCACTCCAACATTTTACTGGGAATACGATTCCTACCCATCTCTGCCATATCACAAGCTCTATTACGTTATCCTCATTGGAGGGATTAACCACATTATTCCCACAATCCTTCCAAATCTGGCTTCTTTCAGATCCTAGCTTCAAGGATGATAAAGTTCCCACGACTTCCTTTAAACAAGGAAATAAGCTCTCCCATAGCTTGTATAGGGATTGCGTGCCAACCAGCATTACCTCAGCTGGAAGATTCCTGGGGCACCAGCCGCACCGATACTGATTTGTAAGGCAAGGCAATGGAAGATCTCTGCTACAGAGCTCATGCGCCCACAGTGAAGTGGAGCAGTAACCTCCTCGCAATCTCAGGCAGCAGTAGCAGAGAAAGGACACTATCAAAAGCCTTGTTCAGAAGCCATAACAAGAAGGGCCTCTGAAGCAGCCAAAAGTGGGGACAATAGATCTGCTGACGCTAATGCAAAGTGACGAACAGGGTTAAGGGCTGTGGAGCTGGACCGGGCAACAGAGCAACAGGCTCAGCATCTTCACAAGCAGGGATGCAGTATATCCTCTACAGCCACCGAAAGGCCAAAAAAAATCAGGAATCTGTCACGTAGAGCAATAGGTTGCATTTACACTCAGAAAAGGGTAGCACTCAAAAACTGAACCACTGCAAGCTACACATTAGTTCAGAGCGAGCTAGAGTCCACTTCACAGCACGCTGTTCACCTGACACATCAGGGCTTGCAAAATGCTTCAGACAGCACTTGTGTATAGCCCAAGCAGGGTATGCAAATTAACAGCAAAGGCAACTGTTTCTTCTAATCTCACTCACTTTGTATAGAGAGGCCCCTCTTTGTTCTGCTGAGAAAGGCCGGATTTTTTTCCTGAAAGCTGTACTGTTTTCCAGGACACACAGAACAGCAAAATCAGATGGCCTAGGCAAACAGACAAAGACAGACACCAAGCTCAATAAAGTAAAAATCCCAGCTTGATGAAGTACCAATTGAAAATAAAAAGATAAATGTTTTTTCATATATATAAACACTTACTGAGCAACAGCAAGTGCCAAAAGTGCTATTTAGGATTGGGGGATTTTCTCCCCCTACTTAATCTCCTCACTCCCAAAGGTCTCCAACATTGCATCTTTTCAGGTGAAAAACAGTAAGTTATTTTAAAATGTTTAATGCTAGAACACTTGGTGTTCCTTCCTTTCCAAAAGCCTATTGTCATTTGCTAAAGCACTTTATCTAGCAGATTCGGCACCAAATGATTAAACAGGCAATGGAAAACAAAAAGCATGGTATCAGCACCACATTTCTATCTTCAGAGGCCCATAATTAACCCTAAGAAGTTACTGGACATCATTAAGGACCCCTTATTAATGTTTTTAATTAAGATTAAATAATATTTATGTAAGTGTTCACGTTCTGAAAAAAGGGACCCTTACTAGGAGACAGTGTTAGAACAGTTGATTGTGCCGAAGCTTTTCTGTTTTCCCTTAATCGGTGCCGAGAGCACAGAACAATAGCACTGGGACCAATAAAGAATGCTGTGGGCCTGCAATTTTAGGTTGAGATTTTCCAAAGGCTCCAAGCGACTAAATCCTATTGAATTTCAATAGGAGTCAGGCACCTAACTCCCTTAGGTGCATTTAAAAAGCCTTTAATTTATTTCCTCAGCTCTCTTACTAGAGGTTTCAGCCAAATCCAAATGCAGGGAGTTGAATTTTTTCCACCGGGTACAAAAGGCCTCAGATGGCAGTGGTGTAACCCTGCACGTGAAGGCACGGCCTCGGAGCACGGCTGCGTCAGAAGGACTTTCCACACCGTCACCTCTGCACCAGTCTCTTCATAACACAGCGATCTTTAGCTTTTGAACTTAGTTGTTGATGACATCCACCAGGAATGTACAGAAGTAAATTAAGCTGGGCTTGCACATTTAGTTTACGATACTTGTTTTAGTGTAGAGTTCTCCCCATCACAAAGTATGCTCAAGAACTAGGCTTTAAATCCAAAGTATTCAGCATGAGAAACAAAGTGTCAACATGCTAACGCTGGCACAAAAATGATTCAAAAAGCCCACTCCTTTCTGTTTATTTCATGAACCTCTCATTCAGTGCTTCATAAAAGTCTCTAGAAAGAATTCAGACAGGGCCTTCTCCTTCAAAGTGAAAAATGCTCTGGTTTCTACCCAGTGCAGCATATGCCTAATTTTATATCTCACTGATAAGCACACATACACACAGTTCACAGAGAGGCATACTCATTCATTAGCACATACGGTATGCTAAGAGGAGTAGGAAGGAACTGTTACAGACTATTAAAAAAAAAAAAATCAGTCTAAGCCAAGTAGTCTATATTTTCACATTACAGAGAACTTTTCATATTAACACTATTTACACAGTGGCTACTTTCCCTGATCTGATTGTTTTTATCCTGTCAAGTATCTTGTTGCACACTTCTTTATTTAATAACCTTTCTCACTCATTTTTTAAAAAATCTACTTCATATCCACTGTGTCCTAAAGTGAGCAGTTCGTAAGTCTTCCCTTTGCTCCACAGGAAACATTGACTTTACTGGGGCACCTCACGAAGAGGCTGTATGGCTGGTTTTTTCCAGCTATAAATGACAGGGCAATAAAAGCTATTGTGTCTTCCAGCAAACCATGTTTCTCTTACACCCTTAGACTATCACCATTACAACACTTCCTTCCTGAAAGAAAATAAATATTGTACAATATCTCTTACCTGAAAGCAGAGCCACACAAAAGGAAGAATCCGGCCATTATCAGCCCAGCTTCACCTGCAATAACTACACTTTGAATACTTAAAAGGGAATGTAACGGGAGATGGCGTTTTTAAGATGTAATGGCCAAACTCTGGTCACCTGCTACACAGTTTGGTAACAGCAACGCTTGGAATCTAGTGGTTTCAGACATATTAATGTACTTTTTTTGGTTTGTTTGTTTGCGGCCACACTGTGAGAGCCGTCAGGAAGCAACAATACATTTTAAAACAGAAGTTAAAAACATTATTGATTTTTTGTTCCACTGGTTTTCAAAAATGGAAAATAGCTTTAAGTTTTCTGTAAATCTTCATTTTTCCACCTTACTCGTATCTTTTCATTCTACTAGAAAAGGGCAGAAGAAAAGAGGAAAAAGGCTGGTAAGGATGGGAAGCTAGAAGTCTCTAGTTTTCAACTGTCTTTTACATTAAATCAATGCTTCCTCTTGAAAAATGTGGGGGGTTGGGGGGAGTTTTGTTTTGGTTTTTAAGAGTCATACTTTACACAAACTGTAGCCAGGTTTCATTTTATATTTAAATTTTAGTGATTTTCTTTTTTTTTTTCATGTCTAGAGGTTTTTAAACACAAGATACACGTCTGCAGAATCATCTGTAAATTTAAGGCATGAAAGGGAATCGTTTTTTACTACAAAGTAGAAAATTTAGGAACTACTTTTTTCTCTCTAGAAACCTGCAAAACAAGGATGTGAGAAAATAAGCTTTAATAAAATTAACTTTCTTTTTTTGTTGTTTTTCTCCCTCTTATAGTCACCAATTGACCAAGGGTATCTACACTCCCACTCCGCAGTAAGCCTGACCTCCGAATCGCTACTAGTCCTCTGAGAGACTGACTCCTCCAAAGTCGACAGCACTGCACGTGCATCATCTCAACCTCACCCACAGCCCTGACATTCTGACCTACAAAGATTTCTCAACTTAAGGGCACTGTCCAGAGTCCAAACAAAGTGAAAACACGCCTGCAAGCCCCTCTTTGTAGGCAGGAGTCACGAAGACTGAAAAGACAGGGGAGATCAGAGCTTGACTTACTATTCAGCTACAGGTTTCTCATACGGCTTTGAGCAAACCACATGCAGTCTTTAACTCCATTCTAAGTCAGAGAAACCCACCTCTCTCACCACCCTCCCCCACACAAATGCTCCAAGACAATGATAACAGCACTGAGGATGGAAGCATAGCTGGATATGCAGAGAGACGTCATAAGGTCCCTCCATCTAAACCCCATGAGATATCATGAGCTATTTCAACAACTTGCTCCTGCAAGAGCATGCTGAAGAGGAACTCTTTCTCATGAGGTTCTAACTTCTTACCTCTCTTGTGTAGATAAGACATCCTCCCCCAGCCCTGCCCTCTCTCCAAGAAGGGAGTTACAAAATGGTACTGTGTGCTAGATAGCCTTGCTTCAGGATTCTCAGCTCTACCCTTCCAGCTCCTCTACGTGGCTGTCGGCTTTAGGGGACCCTCTCCGAGATGTGATATGTGTTCCACTAGTAAGACATTTCCAGAATAGCAAGAGGTCACCAAAAGCAGAACATTACCTCTACTTTTACATATATTCATGATATCCCTTTTTTCTAGAAGCATGTTTTCAAACTTCATTCTCCAAAAATAAGATTTCTGGTCTGAGCAATGATCATGTTCTTCAGTAACAGTTTAATAAGAACTAAATTTCAACCACCTCCAGGTAACAAAGGGAAAAAGAAAACTTTAATTTTTTCCAGACTGGCAGGACAGCATTGCAGGATATATCTCTCAAGTTCTGAAACCAAATCCTGCGCAGTTAGAAGTGGGGCATTCACACACCTGGGCAACCGCCACTCAGTTACCGGTGTCAGGCTCAGCGTTGATAAGAGTTCAAGTGCCATATTTCTGGTTGACATTCCCATAAACACAACCTGCTTTTGCCTCAACATACTTGAGCTCCCTCCCAGGCCTGCTCCAGGGAATACGCATCATGCTCTTCCACACAGCTGCGAAAACAGTCACACACTAAACCTGTAGTCCTGGCACTTAATACTCCTCACAGGAAAACACATGTGCTAGTTTAAGCTAATAAAAAACCTCTCAGATGCCATATGTACACAGCCCATTCAGTCAGCATTTTACAGTTGCCTCTAAAATTTGTGAAGGAGGAGAGAGAATTATTTGACATGCAAAATAAACCTAACCGAAGGCAACAAAGTCAGCATTTTCAGCTAAGTGGCAAGCCCATTTCACATACTGAAGGCGAGCAGTTTCCTCCTTGTGCCAATTTCCTGCGTTCGTTCCAATCAGTGAGCATTAAACAGTTGTGGCTATCATTCAGCGCATCGGGATTATAGCATACCAAAATGGGAAGTTAATTTATACCAACCAAAGCACATGATTAACTCGGTGCAAGCTCTCCCTAGAGCTTTGATAATGTTCCAAATGGACCAAACTAAACTTACATTTGCAAAATGAAGATATAAGCCAGATCTCTCTGAAGTCACATACCCCATTAACCAAGCTACCGTTATGTGCAAAGACTTATATTTTTACTTG